ATCAAAACATAAGCCATGAAAAATAGATTTGCAACAGTTATCCGCTTTATTGGTATAAGAAAGTAGCTCTTCAGGAAGAATAATCTTGTCAGTGGATATTTTAGAATTTATAAAACAAGAAGCTTGTGTATTTTTCATAATATGGGGCGTGATAGGTCTTAATCTGGAGGCAAGTATTTTAGAAATAATTATTTAATTCACATTGCAAAGGGCTATAGGTCTAAAGTCAGTAGAAGAGGAGGCATGCTTAGTTTTTAGAATAAGAGCCAAAATAGTGGATTTGATACTAGGGGAGAGATGCCCTTTTGTTAAGAAGTATTTAGCAGCCTTGCAAATAGAAGGGCCAATAATATGCCAACTCTTTTTTGTAGAAAATGATAGTTGAAGCATCAGGGTCATAGGTGGATGAAGCAGCTCCATCAAAAACAACCATTTTGATCTCATCATCTGTGACAAAAACCGTCAGTGAATCTGAAAGTGAGGGTGGAAGAAGAGCACAGTGGGGGAAAAGCTTCGTATTAATAAACTTTGAAGGGGGCGGGTTGTAAAGGGCTTGGAAATGTTGAATGATATCATTAATAGTATCTTCTCTCAATGGATTAAATGAAGCACTCAAGTTAATAGAAGCATTTCTTGTAGCCATCCTATGGTGAATTATTGCATAGAGAAATTTAAGATCATCTTCTCCTTAGGAGAGCCACGAGGCTTTGGCACGTTGAATAACCCACGAAGCATGGAGAGAGGTAAAATCCACTATTTGCTGGTTGATGAGATTTAAAGTACTATTAAGAGATGTATTTAAAGGCTCCACAAAAATTTGATCCAGGCAATTAGATTATTTTAGATGGAGGTAATCTAAGTGAGATTTGATAGTATTTGAGTTGGCCCAAGGGCACTGGGGCATTGTCAATGAGAAAGCTACGACAATGAATCTAATTATGCTGCGGTGCTGGTTCAACACTTGTAAAATTTTATCATTTCTTAATATTTTCTGCAGTTAAAACTAAAATAATATATTTTTATTGAAATTTAAGAATAATAAACAGTACAAAATTTACACTTAACAGTGCCCATTCACCATCAGCTAAAGTCCATCTTCCCATTAACATCGTACCTCATGGTACTACATTTGAAGAAAGTGAGCACAACAACAAGATGATCTTGCTTGAAGAATTTCTCTTCCACTAAGTGTCATACCAAAAACATTTAAGAAATCTCATGTTGTAGTAACTTCTATCCTTATCACTTGATGTATGTGAGATCTACCACTTAATCGTTACATGATCTGGAAAAAAACATTTAATCTCAAACCTAACAACTATAAATCAACATTTTGTATTTTCTTATTTATCTTATGTTGTAAATTGATGTTTGTATAAAGAACTTTTTTGTATTCTATCTAGTTTAGTTAAATATGTTGGAATTTTTTGCCAAAAAAAAAATAAAAAATTGTCTCTTAAGTTTATGTATGGCATTAAATAATACTTATTAATAAGAAATTTGACCACCAGTTAACCCTTTTTTTATTGGTGTCTGACTTCAACTTCCATTCCTATTCACGAAAGATTTTTCTCAGCTTTTCCTATTCAGGACTTTTCGTAGATATTACAGTTGAAGCTAACCCATCAACTGTCCCAAGCAAAGTGAAGAGCATATACTTAATAGAGATGCCAGTGGGATTAGTGTTGAAGCTAATACAAGGGTAAACATTGGTTAGGAGGGGGGAGCCATTAAGAGAAAGAAACATGATGATGAGTTGGATAAAAATGAGGGAATCTAAGGAGAGGTTCATATACAAAAATAATAATAAATCACTTGATATAATATGGACCAAGCAACATAATTAGATGATTCTAATGAGCCCATTATCAAAATATGGCATTATTAAGGCATTCTAATAATCTATCATGAAAGAAATCAATACATACTATTCAATAGAGTGTTTTGGATTCTAGTAAAATTTATCAAAATTCTCCTTTCAAAAAGGTTATAAATAAGTCATTATTTTCTACGAAGGAGAGGTTTTGTGAGCGATTAAGCTTAAGAACTATATTGCAATTTTCTTTAATAATCGTTGATAGCCATCATCAACATTTGTCGCCATCATTAATTATCAAATTTTTGTCATCAAATTTTTATTGTTTAACTATTAACATCTAATCATATTATTAGGCTTTAACTGTGCGTTAGTGAACCACAAGATAATTATTATCAACCTTCTATAATCCTATCTTCTTCAATGCATAGAAGAGAGCATTCTTGTATTTACATTATATAGATGTGATATGTCATCAAAAATCATCTTGATTGAGCATGAATCTCGAAGCAAATATTAGTCAAAGGCCTAAAAAGTTAAAATTGAGACTATTTGATCTTTGATTTCAGTAAGCCTATAGTCAAATTATACATCTCAAGGACCAACCCAATGCCACCAAATTCGATCTAATCTGAATTCAAATAGGTCCATATCAAATGACCAAAGCCTATTTGAAAGCTTTAAAATAATAATTTGATTACTAAATGATATCTAAATATTAGTCAAACTGGGCAACTCAATGAGTTTAATCCAACAAACCTAAAATTTCTCAATTATGACATCTTTAAGGAACTAAATCACTTGACAAATTCTCCATAATCAAGGGAATCACCATGGGTGGTCTGATGAAACACTTCCAACATGCCCTTGATCTTCTCCATATTTATGAGCATGCTACTCACGAAAATTATAAATAGATACCTAATTCTTTACAGGGGAGGAGAGAAGAAGAGAAGAAAAATAAAGAGCTTACTTGCTTTGCCAACTTTGAACCACCAACTGGATCTCTTCCCAACCACCGATCATCGCCGAGATTTCTACCCATTCATTATTAGCAGCCAGCTCTTTTCCCAATAATCAAACATTTTGAGACATCCTCACATCTACTAAATATCATTGAATCTCCAGTCATCAATAGAAATTGATGAAACATTCTCTATTTTTTAATCAACATCAAGAATACTCACCTTAAGTTTGGTCCATTTTCCTATTTTGGGGTCGATCAACCAACTCCCATGTTTTATTTTTCTCAATCATTGACAACTCTTTCATTGTTGCCATCCAATTCTTATCTTTCATTGCTTCTTCAAAATCAGCAGGTTCACACATAGCCATATTGCACCTTGCATAAATATTAGGGAGTCATCTAGCACCTCTTATAGGTGTGTCATCCACCAATTGATTTTGACAATCTTCATCTTCATCCAAGCTTGAAGCATGAATCTTTAGCCACATATCTATAATAGTTTGGTCATTTTTTGTTGCCTCATTCTAGTTCCATTCTTCATCTTCCATGAAATGAACATATCTTCTTAGAACAATTTTCCTAGTTTATGGTAGGAAAATTTTATAAGCTTTTGCAATAGTTTTGTAGCCAATAAGAATTTTTTTTTTTTAACTTCAAGAATGCTCTAACCACTTTTGATTTGAAATTTAAGAAAAAAAAATCCAACACATTCTAGTGAAATCATCCATAAAAGCAACATAATATTGACTACCTGCTAATGAGTGAGTTTTCTAAGGTCCATAAACATCTATATGGACTAATTGAAATTTATAGGTGGCTCTCCATGCTGACCTAGAAAATGACTTTCTGTTTGGCTTTCCAAATTCATAAGCCTTACAAGTTGATATATAATAATCAAATTCAGTTAGATCAATTAATATCTCTTTTGACTTGTTTTGTAGTAGCCCTTGATAGTGATAGTGCCTGAGCCTCTTGTACCACACCATTGAGAGGCTTTATTTGGTTAGAAAAGTTGATTGCTCCTCCTATATTGGATTGAGTGAAAAGCTCGTCCCTATCATCTTAACTTCTAACATCTGTTTGGCATGTAGCATCCTCTATCACACAAGCTTTCTCCATGAACATCACTCTGAATCCCTTCTCTATTATTTGACCAACACTAAGTAGATTTTGATCAATATTTGGTACATAGAGAACATCATTGTTTAGCTTGATTCCTGAATAGCTTGCAATTTCTACGGTGCCCTTTCCTTTGATTGCAATATATTCAGTGTTCCCAATTATTACAATGTTGGACTCGGTGCTCTTCAATTATTTGAACAACTCCTTATCATGTGTCATATGGTTAGTGCAACCACTATCAATAAGCCTATTTTCACTTGTTTCATCACTCATGAAACAAGTTGCAACTAAAGCTAGTTTTTTCTTTTTGATTTGCCACTTGTGCTTCATCTCCTTACTGCTAATTTTTACTCTTGCAAATGAAAACTTCGTGTCCCATTTTATTACACTTGTTGCACTTTGTATCTAATCTTTTCTAGCTCTAAGGCGGGTGACCTTTCTTGCCACAATATTTTCATGGAGGGTAATCATTCTTTACTCCTCATTTATTATTTCCAATTTTACTTCTGTTCCAAGGAGCAGAGCTTTGTCCACTTGTAGCTTGAAACTTCTAAATCTTGGCCCTCCAATTATTTTCATCATCTTTATGAGATCCTTTGACGGTTCCTTCTTGCCTCATTATATGCCTATGCTCTTGAGCTGCATCTGTTCTGCCAAAGCAATCTTTGATACATCTTTTGTGTTTTCTAAAGTGGTGGTGGTTGCCTCAAATCTTTCAAGCACTATTACAAGGATTGTTTTCAATAAGCCTTTAATCTTCCAAAGAAGAACCCAATAATTTGACATGATATGCTATGTTGAGTAATATGTTAGAATACTTATTTATGATTTCAATCTCCTTCATCTTTTTCTGCTTACCATGTTCAACACCTACATCCCTAGAATTCTTTCATTTCTTTCATACTCTATTTTGAAATAATCCTAGATCTCCTTTGCCATTTTTAATGACATGATGCGAGTGAAGATCATGGAGGAAACTACAGGAAAATTACAGGCTTTTTCCTTGGACTTCTTTGTCTTCTTCTCTTTATGTGATTTAATTTGTGCCATGGTGGGATTATATGGGAGAAAAGGAATTTTATAGTCTTCTTACACTGATTCTCAGAGATCCAAAGCTTTTAGGTATATCTCTATCCACATTGCCCATGTCTGATAGTTATCTTAGTTAAACATTTGTGGTGAAACTGAGGAAAAACTAGGTTCGGTCTTTATAACTGCTCAAACTTACACCCAAAAATTCAATGATAGTCAAGGATTTGTCTCACTTCAATTGTGTGCAACTGATGCAATGATCAAATTTTATGATGTTTTTGGAGATGTTTTGCAAGAATGGAAAATAAAAGAAGTTGTATGACTATATTGTTTAAAGAAATGTTTTCCCGTCAAGAGGACAATCTTTCTAGGGAAATACCCAATGTTGGGTGATAATACATTTCTATTGGCTTTAAGAATTAATTAAATAACAAAATAGCTTGACATAAAAAAATAATGAAATTGTGAAAGTGGACGTACGCTAATTGGAAGTTTATTATGCATGATGCCAAAGGCATGAGGCATGTCATGAAAGAGTAGCATTCATCAAAACTATAGCATGAGTATATAAAAAATGAGGCCCATGCATCTTCTTTGCTACCTTTTTTCCATAAACAATCTCACTTGATTATGCTTCAATGTACTGATGAGTGAAGTGGTCATTTTGATGACAATTAATCATATCATTGAATGCCATGAAATCATTAGATAAGCCTATAACTTAGCTGTTAAGTTATTTTATGGCTATTAGCATAAACTCGTCAAATAGATCATATGTAAAAGATAAAACACTATAAAGTGAGCACAATAATCCTTTGTCTTCCATGTCTCCTTTGCACGAAGATTTTGGACACTCTCAACACCTTAAAATAAACAAGTCATAAATCAAGCACTTGGGGAAGTAATTGAAAAGTTTTTGAAGTGATTTGGAAGGGGCAGTAGCCTTCTAAAATTTTACATGCTTACAACAAAAATTATTGACACAACAAGGTGAACCCAATGGGGCCAATAATGTTTGTATTCAAGTCTAAATGAGCCTAAATTGATCAATTAGAAACATATTTAAAAACTTATTGATGTTATTAGCTGTCAAAAGAATTTTTTGTGATTATAAATAAAACGAGCACCTTATCAAGAATAAAACTAAGGAGCCAAAATTTGATTGATTTTAATATCATTATGGTATCAATATACTAAATAAAATTCAAATGATTAAAGAGATGGACAATTAGAATTGTTCAATACATTGTCATTTTTTTTAGAAATAATGAGAATAATCATACATTAAGGGGAGAACATTAAGTAGAGATAATTCAAAACTTGAAAATTTGATAACTTTTTTCATATTATTATGTGTTGGTCATCAGCTAGGGGTATTAGCGATCAAAGTAGACTTGAAAATGACTCTTTGACGAGCTCATAAGTCGAACTTATCAAGAAACAAAAAATGACATTGGGATGTTTTTTAAGCTCAAAAGTTGTTTGTTATCACTTCAAAATTACCTTA